TCTACAGAGGTCTGTAATCCCTTATGAAAGACTTGAAAGCTGGGAGCTGTCAACACGTCTTCTGACAAAGATTCCTATGGGGTAACTACGTCACTGTGCAAAACACGGCGATTTTTTTTTAAAGACAACTGCCAAATTTTTCTTTTCTCAGTTCCTTCAATGTCTTCTTCACCTTTTGGGAGCCATGTCTTTAAAATTCGGGGGTGGGGTAGGGACCCCATGAGGGCACAGATTGTTTTCTTGCAGATAGTCCTCGATTTACAATGATTCGTTTAGTGACTGTTTGAAGTTACAACAGTATTGGGAAAGTGACTCAGGACTGGTCATCACACTGAGGGCCATCAGAGTGATCAAGATTACCCAGATGGCTTTCATAGCTAAGGCTGGACTAGAATTCCCAGTCTCCTGGTGATTGGCCCAAAGTCACCCAGCCAGCTTTCATGCCTTAAGGAGGGACTAGAACTCACCATCACCTAGTGATTGACCTAAAGTTATCCACCTGGTTTTCATGCCTAAGGTGGGTTTAGAACTCACAATCTCCTAGTGATTGGTTCAAAGTTACTCAGTTGGCTTTCGTGCCTTAAGGAGGGACTAGAACTCACCATCACCTAGTGGACCTAAAGTTATCCATTTAGTTTTCATGCCTAAGGTGAGACTAGAACTTACAGTCTCCTAGTGATTGGTTCAAAGTTACTCAGCTGGCTTTCATGCCTTAAGGAGGGACTAGAACTCACAGTCTCCTAGTGATCACCCCAAAGTCACCCAACTGGCTCTCAGGACTAAGATGGGACTAGGTTTCACTGTCTCTCACTTTCTATCCTGGTGCCTTAACCTCTTGACCAAGGTAGCTTTCTAGACCAAACTAGCCCTCCAGATGTTGGAGGAGAACCTATCCCCAAGAGATGGTCTTCTACCAAGTGGCCTTAATTCCCAGGCCCTCAACTTCCTCATTCTGAGAGGATGGATGCAAAACATCCCCGTCTACTTCCACAGCTCTACTATTTACTCAGACGTCACCATTTTGTCCTCTCTGTGGTCCTGCTGTAGAGCCCTCAACCCTGATCCTCAGGCCCTTCTCTCCACTTCATGACGGAAGAGGACCTCCTTTCATCTTCCTCTCTTCCACTCCCTCCATCCTTTCCCATTAACTCCAAGGGCTCTGCCACCCAACTTCTCCCTCACCTTATTTGCTTCGAGGCCCCAGAAAGCAAAATAAACACATTCAGAAATGCGTCAACAGCTTCTAAAATAAACTTCTGCTTGAGAACATCTGCTCCTACAGCTACTGAGTGTTTATTTTTCTTTTCTTTTTTTTCCCTTTTCTGATTTATTCCATCACCTGTTATCATGGTCTCCCGCCAACTTCCGGAGAGACCCCCACTCCAATCACGCTGAGAAAAATTCTTCCGTTCTCTGCTAAACATCCAGGTAATTTATTGGCACCTTTTACAGTAGTTGTGTTGTTCGTAATCTTACAAAAATCAGAAGCACCAATTTAGACTAATTTAGACTTCAATGCTAGACACTGGGAGAAAGCAACCAAAACTCCCTAGAGCCTATCTATGCGGGTTGGTTTCTGCCCCGCTGCTGAAAACAAGCCAAACCAAAAAACAACAACAACCATGAACATGCAACTATCTTAAAATTCCACTTTAGTATGAAAGAATTAAAAAAAAGCAAAGGAAAATATTGAAACCTGAGTGGAAAGAACATCCTGAATGCCAATCATGACACACAACCTTGACTAATTTGCATACTGGCCCCACCCACATACTCTCACTGTATAACTGTTTACTGACCAATCAAAGCTACAATGCCAGAGGTGGTATTAAGCCGGTTCTGACCAGTTCTGGAGAACCAGCAGAGGAAATTTTGAGTAGTTCAGAGAACCGACAAACACCACCTCTGACTGGCCCCGCCAACCCCATCTCTTCTCTGCCTCCCATTGAGTCCCAGCTGATTGGTTGGGTCATCTTTGGTTGCCCTGCACAGGAGAACGGAGCTGGAAAGCAGGTTAGCGGATGGGGAGGAAGTGGAGATTTTTCAGGATCCTTCCCCTGCCATGCTCACCAAGCCACGCCCATCAAGCCACCGTGCCACACCCACAGAACACCACAACCACCAAGCCACACCCACAGCTGATTGGCTGGGTCTCCTTTGGTTGCCCTGCGCAGGAGAACGGAGCTGGAAAGCAGGCTAGTGGGTTGGGGAGGGAAGGGGAATTTTGCGGTACATTCTTTCCCTGCCACGCCCACCAAGCCACGCCCACAGAACCAGTAGTTAAAAAAAAACTGAATCCCGCCACTGCTTCCAGCCCTAGAGTGCCACCATCCCTTCTTACCTTTGTCTCTGTCCTTCTGGTGGTCCCGTCTTCTGAAGTCACAATAGAAATGTGAGATGTTGGGGTTCCGGGGTCTTCTTCAACGGTCACCGTCTCCTCTACCTTCTCTTGGGGTTCCTGCATCATTGCTATAGAGGTCTGGTTGCTGGGGCTTTGCTCCTGGAGAAGGAAGAAGGGATGGTCTCAAACGTTTCGCTAGAAAAGGAGAACAACCCTATGATAAAATTTAAGAAGGGTCTAAACACTTGCCCAAGTCAGAACCTAGAACGTGGAGGTCTGGAGCTTCCAAAACCTCCTTTTTTTTGAGCTCCATGTTTGCACGTTTCTTAGCAGCTGCTGATGAATGATCGTTGTTGAAGCCCTTAGTCCAGGGATGTCCATCCTTGGCAACTTTCAAGACTCGTGGACTTCGACCCATGTGGGCTGGGGAATTCTGAAAGTGGAAGCCCACAAGTCTTAAAGTAACCAAAGTTGTACACCCCTGCCTTAAGTCCATCCAGGTGTTTGGCCACTCAATCCAAAGATGGCTTTAGGTATTTAAGCCACTAGTTTGTCATACCTGAAAGTTATAGTAAAGAAAAGGCACATTCAATTAGTCATGTACTAACTGCAGCTAGAATAGTATTTGCTCAAAACTGGAAAAGTTAAAAAAAAACTCTGAGAGAAGAGAATATGATTAGGAAAATATTAGAATGTGCAGAAATGAATAGGTTAACACTGGCAATTAAAGGAAAAGAACAAACTGAATATTAGATGATATGGGAATTATTTTATCAATGGTTGGAAAAGAAAAATGGAAATTAGAAACTAAATATATGAACCTAGAAGAGAGATATCTAGAACATATATGAATATACAAATATAGACAACAAGATATATTATATATACTAGTTCAAAATAAGAATGTAATATAATTGTTGTTGCTGCGGTAAGGAAATTGTATTAACCACAAATATTATGCACAATACATTTGTACCCAGCTGACACACTGTATAAAGAAAACATGGAATGTTTGTAAAAGAAAATAAAAAAAAATCATATTTTTTAAAAAAAGAAAGCCACTAAGAATTTTAAAGGGGCCAGGATGGGTTTAAATTCCTTCTATTTGGGAATCTTCCCATTCCTTAGTTATCACAAAAACCTGATTTATTAGGAAAAAATCTGCAAAGATGGTATGACGCTTATGGATTTTAGTCTGAATACTATCTCTGTGTGCTTCAAAAGTCCTCGTGCATTCATTTTTCTCCTTGAAGGAGGAGAAAGACAACTGAAAAACCACTTAGAAGCAGACCCAGACATTCCCTTTCACACTAAACAACACACTGTTCTGAAAAGAAGCATGGGTGGGATTCAAATTTCTTAACAACTGGTTCTGTGGGTGTGGCCCAATTTGTGGGTGTGGCTTGGTGATCATGTGACTGGCTGGACATGGCTTGTATGTAAATACTATAAATATTTATGTAAATATTGATTTTTTTTTCATTAAAAAAGGGCAACATTTACCCAAAATCAGGCAAAGCAGGCAGGCCGATTGAGTTGCTCACAGAATCACAGATTCATTCAGAAATCTACCATTCTGCAACCTGCTAACTGAGTCTGCACTGAAAAATAGAAGCTTCAGTCCTAAGGAAGGTTCAGCTCTGCTTTTAAATTAGTTAGAAAGCAAGAAATGCAATGATTTCCTGCTTTCTAGCTAATCTAAATCTCCCGGCACAGCAGAACAGCTGACGGTCGGGGGAAAAAAAAAAAGAAAAATAGCAACTTAGCAAGCAAGTTTGATGATGCGCATGCCAGGTAAGGAGTGAGTGAGCAGGGAGGAGCAGGGCCAGAAAGTGGTGTGATTTGCCAGTTCTCCGAACTGGGCAGAATCATAGCAACCAGTTCTATAGAACCAGTCTGACCAAGTAGAATCCCACCCCTGAATTATAGCATAAGATGGGTACAATGGTTGTTTCCCTACAATCTCATTGTTTACACACACTGAAACCATTTCAGCCCATTCTGCGGCCCCTTTGGCAAACTTCTGACTAGCAAAATCAGTGGGGAAATGTTCTGACCCAAATCCTTTTCCAATAAGACAAACAATAACCAAAGGGAACAGAAACCTTTTAATGAGTCTTATGAATCCCCGGTTAAAAGGCTGCTGCAAACTAATTAACTTTGATAGACACAAACCTTGCCAAAACTGTGCAAGACTGCCAAGAATCACAGATAAGAAATATTTCACAACACAAAAGTCTTCAAATACCAACTTAAGATACTGTAATGTCCATGGGGCTGAGTTTCAAAACGTCTTTGCTTCCTGCAAGGAACATTCGCTTCGCAGCTGGCTTTTATCTTCTTGAAGGAGGGGCCATGATCTTGCAACCTTACTCCTGAGTCATCCGTGCTGCTGCAGCTGCTCTTTCCTGCGAGCAGCCCTGCACGCACGAGCACTTGGCACAGGCTCCTCGGGAACCTCCTCATCACTGCTGCCAGCCCCCACAACCTCTGAAGGCAGCAGTCCAGTCCCTAATGGTCCTGGCCCCTCACCTGAGTCCTAGTTCTCCTCAGCCGTCCACACCTGCTGCCGGCTAACCACAACAGGAAATCAGATTCACTTAGCAACGGTGTTCCTAGCTTAGCAGCTGCAGTGATTCACTTAACAATGGTCTCGCAACATAAATCTGGGGCTCAGTTGTCAAGGATTACTATTATTATTCAGAAAAATCAACCGAATATTTGCAGCATTTGGGGGTTCCTTTGGCTAAAGACATTCCTTTCTTCTCCCTTCTGTAAGTTTCCTTAATGCTGGCATTGTTTCCAAAAAAAAAACACCCTAATCCTATGCATTTTTCTCCTTGGGTGTCTGGAGTTTTTCCTTTAATGCTCATACTTTTGAGGCTAAACTAAGCGAGGGGGCCATGCTAATGTCGTTCTAATGTATGCACTCAACAACTGCAGTCAATGGCCGTGTTTCAAAGACCTCATTTACCGCTTGTTCACAAGAAATGGTTTTGTCATATTTAAAAGCAATTTCTAGTCTGTCTCCCCCTCCTTAGGTCAAGGCGTTGCCTTCGTAGATATGACACCTCTGAATAACAAAGGCCAGGCTGAACGCAGGACTCTAAATCTATGGCGTTACTTAGTACTGTTGCTCATAGTTGAAGGGCTCTCTCAAATACATGAGGGGCTGTGGCAGGGGCTAATTTATTCTCCCTAGCACCCGAAGGAGGACAAAAAGCAATGAACAGAAGCTCCTCGGGAACCTGGAAATAAGGAGAAATGTTGTGACAGTGAGAAGGATTAATCAAGGCAATCGCTTCCTTCTTCCGGAAGATGTGGGATGCTCCATTCCCCGGAGGTCTTCAAGAAAAGACAGGACATCCATTTGTCCAGGATCGCTATGAGGATTCTAATTTTTATTTAGATATTAGATTAACAGAGTTGGAAGGGACTTTGTGGGTCATCTAGTCCAACCCCCCCTCCCACCCAAGCAGGAGACCTTACACCACTTCTGACAAATGGCAGTCCAGTCTCTTCTTGAAAGTCTCAAGTGTTGAAGCTCCAAAACGGGCCACATGGGGACTCCTCGGAGGGGCAGGGGAGCGTGGGCGTGGCCAGCCAAGAATGGGATTTGGGGTGGGTGGGTTTCTCCGAATTGCACAGAACCCCCAGCAGCCCAAGCTCCCCCCCCCCTTCTAGCCCTAGCACTCTATGGTTTGCCTCCCTCCGGAACCTGTCTCAATTTCCCCTCGTTCTTCTTCACACTTCACAACCCTTGAGGATGGGAGGAAAGGACGTCCCCCTCTTAAATCCCTGCCCTCGCCCCATTCCTTCCACTGAACCACGGCTAGGAGGCTGCTTGGGTTACTCCCCAAGGGAGTTCAGTGTTTCAAAGTCAATCTCCAAAGCCATTCGAAGCATCTCGCTCAATTGATTTAGAAAAGAGCTGGATACAATTCAGGGATGTGATGGGCATTTGCAATGCGCAGACGTGCGTGCCTCTTTCCAAGGATTGGAACTGGGCTCACTCCAGTTTTCAAGAGTGATTTCTTCCTTCCTTCCTCTCTCCCTCCCTCCCTTTTCTTTCTTTCTTTTCTTTCTCTCTACTGCCTCCTTCCTTCATCTCCCTCCCTCTCATTGTCCTTCCTTCCCTCCCTCCCTTCTTTCATCCCTTCCGCCATCTTCCTTCCTTCCTTATCTCCCTTCCCTCTCATTGTCCTTCCTTCCTTCCCTCTCTATTTTCCTCCCTCCCATCTTTTTTCCTTCCTCTCTTCCTTCTTTCTGTCTTTTCTTATCTTCCTCCCTTCTTCCTTCCCTCCCATCTTTCTCCCTCCCACCTTCCTTCTTTCCTCTCACTCCCTCTCATTGTTCTTCCTTCTCTCCCTTTTCCTCTCTCCCATCTTCCTTCCTTCCTTCTTTCATTATCTCTCTCCTTATTGTCCTTCCTTCCCTCCCTCCCTTCCTTCCCTCTATCTTTCCTTATCTCCCCCTTTCTTCCCTCCAATCTTTCTCCCTTCCTTCCTTCCTTCCTTCCTCTCCCTCCCTCTCATTGTCCTTCCTTCCTTCCCTCCTCTCTTCCTTCCTCTCTTCCTTCCTGGTTGGCATTCTGCAGGACTTGAGTTTTGTCCAGTAATTTAGACCTGGTTGATTTATCTCATAGGATTCCAACTTTTACAATAAAAGTTAAACTGGAAACCCAAATTATGTATCCTCCCTCCCTCTCCTTATTCTCAAAACCACAGGTGTTATTAATTTCGCCCTAGCCAAGGCGCTCACGGCTGATGCTGGCATATGACGTTGGTGCAAGCTATCTCTATTTTGATCTGTGTGGGAAGGCCCACCTGGATTGTTCATCTAAATAGAACAAGATATACAAAGTTTAAAAATTGTATTAACAGCGGCTAGGATTGAATTTGCTAAAAACTGGAAAAATGAGAAAATACCATCACAGGAGGAAATCATTAAGAAAATATTGGAATGTGCTGAAATGAGTAGATTGACATTTGAAATTCGAAAACAAGATGATAAACAATTTTATAAAATTGTGACATGCAAAGTACAGTAATGAAATATGTAGATTTTTAGAAAATAATAAAGATGTAAAGATGTACTTCTTTCTTATTATAACTACAAAATGATTTTAGGATAGTTTTGGGATGATAATATGAACTGTT